TTCCAACCCAGGCTTTCAAGTAAATCAACCGACCGAACATCGTAAGTCGCACTAGAAATTACTCTTGCAGCCCGATTTTGAAATTTCTGCAACCTGTCCTTGAGGCCTATTCCACAGTTGTCCCAGTGAGGGCTGCAGTAATCAAAGTAGGGCTGCACAATAGCATTGTACATCAATTTTAGTGTCGCAGACGATACGAAGGGCCTAATACGTCTTATAGCACCGATTCCCGCACTGACTTTTGAACATCATATCAATATGTTTTTCCCAGGTCAATTTTTCGTCAATGTTGACACCAAGGCAAGTATAATTTTCAGTCCTGGGTATTGGAACGTTATAAACAAGAATTGGGTTACCAGATACCTTATGTTTAATACTCTACCATCACTGTGTACATTATTGCCACTACAATTACGACCACAGACACTATACAAAACTACCATTATCATCACTACCATCATAACTATTACTACAATGAGCACTATCATCAGCACTATTACCTCTATCATTATCACCTTAATTACCGTAATTATCCTAATCACTGTTACTACCGTCATCATTACGCCCATGATAAGCAATACGACCACAACCGCCAAATATTAAAGTAATCTTTGTTTCGACGGATTAGAGATCTGGTGAAGACGTAAAGTGTGGGCCCATTCCTTGTTGATTCTTATTATATTAGTGCATTGTACTGACAACTCTCACTTACCTATGCCAGGTAAATCCCAGAATTTGATCTTAGGATTGGTAGGATGGGAGTACATTGCAATGTCCCTGGTTGTCTCCTTGACACCTGTTTTCGCTGCGCCCTCTTCATCATCTGCAAGTCTGAGCAAATTGTAGTTGTAAATGTTTGCTCAAAATCATAGTCACAACCTAAGCATGCTTTGAATCATTCAAACAGTTGTATCATTCGTGAACAACAGTTAATGTAAAAATACCTCGCGCAAATTTTAGCCGTTGGAAACTATATAGTATCGCCTATACCCTATTTGTCCATGAGAAACGTAATATGGACGATTCTCTGGAGACCCCACCGCCTTAGAAACATCACACATATTTTGTTGGTATAGTACACATAACGTAATTTTCTACTATTTTCTACGGTCGGTTACTGGCGATGCTTCCGCATGGAATATGTCGTCTTCTGTTGACTTAAAAATTTCCAATGTTTCTCAAAGCAACTTTTTTGTGTATGAAATATTGACAATTTTTAGCGCGTTTTTCTTGAAATTTGAGTGTTCTCAATGCAAAGAAGGCGTAATATTATAAATGTATAGAACAGGTATGGTATTACGAATGTATAGACTGGTGTTTGTATCAAGTTGTTTTCTTTTTATATTCTGCAAAGATGATTCCGAAATGTTAAGGCTTTCGAAAAAATTATCGAATTTTTCCGTGATGTTTTACAGAGAAACGTCGCAGCCAGGGCCGTGCTGAGCGGTATCTGGTTGGGCGGGGGGAGGGGGGTAAATTAAAAATTTTGGGCCTTTCTCAAAATAATTCTTTTCGGGGCCCTTCTCAAAGAAATTTCCGGAAAAGCCAAAGGTTTCTGAAGGCTGGTGTTTCCCGAAACAAAACACCCACTTTTTTCTCCAAACACTAGTTTGAGATAATGGAGGGGCGGGGGTTAAAATACTTTTTCGGCCTCAACTATTTAGAAAATTCCTTAATATTTAACACGTTCCAGCATTCCGTGGCCCCTTCTGGGCAAGTTGGGCCCCCTATCTTGACTTGTCTTTGGGGTGTTACCCCCAGTAGTTCCGGCCCTGGACTCGCAGCTGCACCCCCCCCCCAAAAAAAAACAAAAAAAAAACAAAAAAAAACCATATGACGTTTCTCGTGGACAAAATCGATATGTGATCTTTCTCTATTAAATTTGAATGTTGCATGTCAACTTTGTTCCCAGGGCTTTCTTAAACTAGAAAGTCCGGGCCGGCCACGTGATCAATCTCGTACTCAGAGTATGCCCTTTCGCAGGTTAGGTGCTGGGCATGACCTGCGAACGGGCATACTCTACTACAAAGACAACAAGCATCCCCAAATTCACGTAGATAAGATTTTGTTGGCGTATAACTCTTGCTGCCATATCGAAATTTAATTTATAGTTTTGAACTACACGCTCCTTGTTTGGTATGGAACATTGAACCTTAAATTCTAAGAGTGCAAAGCATACTGGCAAGCAAGCGACAGCCGTTTTTGAATTGGCTGTATATAGAAAAGGAAAAATCAAATCTCTCACCCTCTTATGGCGTTTATAAAGCTCGACTTTCCAGCACCAGAATCACCTGTAACGCCGAACTTTACTTCTACGTCTTTCCATTGTGTGAGTCTGGCTTGAAGCAACTCTTTAATTTCGTCTTGCAAGTTACCTTGTGAGTCACTCAATTTACCTTTCACGTCTTCGATAAATACTTTCTCCCATGAGTTGTCCATAGACATAGTGTTAGAATTAGATTTGAATCTCCTGGAGCCTTTACTTAGCTTTGATGTGGCCTACCTTACCTAGACTATGTTCAATCTGTGAATAATTCAAAAATAGACGACGCTACCCTTGGCGACACAAGCGAGCTTCCGGGTTGGGAGAATTCAAGGACAAATCATGAGTGTAAAGATTTGCATAATCAGGTATTCATGTATGCTCGACAGTTCTCCAACCGTCTTTCAGGTTGCATAGCTAGTGGTAACATGAATTCAAAATTATTTCATTTGTTTTATAAATTAATTCCAGGTATAGAGTGATTCGAAACAAGTTTTATAAACCGTTATTGACCAAAATTCTCCTTATACAAATCACGTTTATATGTTTTATTATGTTTTCAATTGTTTTCGTAATTTTTATGCAGTTTTCCCGTAAGTCGTTTACCAAGTAAAAGGCGAGTGACAGATGCTTTATGGCGCAATCACATGATGTTGTCTCATCATAATTTTACAATATAAAGCTTCATAGGCTTTTTAATCCATCCATTTGAAACTGTTTAACAGGTCACAGACACAGTTCCCAAGAGCAACAAAATAAACGCGGTTGATTAGCATAGGCGTATGGGCCGGGGGGGGCACGTGCCGCCCCCCCCCCCCAAATTTTTACGGTCGGGTAAAAATCAATGCGACATTCGGGCAAAACATAAAAATTTCGGAAAAATTTTGATATGTCCTGAAAACATTTTTGTGTCTGCGAAAATCACGTGATGTTAGGGAAATTTTTTTGATATGCCCGGCAAAATTTTCGTATGTTTGTAGAAAAGTATTTGGTATGTGGGGAAAAATGTTTTTGGTATGTCCGGAAAACATTT